AGTAGTGTGGTCCGGTGAAATCCATGTGGCTTTGTGAATGCGTTTGTTTGGGAATATTGTGCCACCGATGACCAGTTTGTTGAAGGCACATAGGTTTGCAAATCTCTCACCGTTTTCGTTTCTTTCTCCCAGTCCATGTCGTCCCATGATGTCATCATATCCAGTGTTGTCCATTCCAACCTTGGCATTCAGGTCTCCCATAAGAATCGTCAAATCCTTTGGTGAGCATCTATCGACGATTGACTGCAGCCTTTCGTAGAACTGATCTTTGTCGTCGTCATTGTAGTCGTTGGTAGGTGCATAACATTGGATGACGTTCATTGTAATGTCCTCTTTCTTTGTTTTGAAGGATGCTTTAATGATCCTGGGTCCATGAGATTCCCATCGTATCAGTGCCTTTTGTGCATGTTTGGACAGCATCAATGCAACTCCTTGTGTATGTGAAGCGTTTTCCTCTTCATGACCAGAGTATAACAGAAGTTCCCCTGAAGCAAGTCTCAGTTGTCCTACCTGTGTCCAATGCGTTTCACTGATGCCGAGCACCTCGAGGTTGTATCTTCTCATTTCTGCCGCAACTTGAAATAGTCTTCCAGTCTCCCACAATGTACGAACGTTCCATGTACCTAAAAAATGGTTGCTCTGGTTGTCAGAAGAGGCATCAGCCCCGTGACTTCCGAGGGAACTCGGCTTTGATCACGCGACGTCATAATTCTTCCTCCAACTCCCAGGGCAGAGTTAAAATGGTTTGAATTATCTTTTCTGGTTAGCGTTTTTTTGGAAAGTTAGTTTTTGACGGAATGGGGTCGCCAACCCCATGTCCAACCCTCCTCCTTTACCCGGGCTTGGGACCGGCAGTAGCCCCGAAGGTTCTACTGGCGGAGCGGATTAAGTTTGCGTCAACATTAATTCACATTACTTATTACTTAATTGGTTAAGTGACAGAGAATCCTAATCTTGTGATATCATCATCATCATCATCATAAGAATAATATTTTTAGTCATCAAAAAGTCATTCATATAGTGTAAACCATGTGTCCCTTTTGTACCGATGGATTAGCCTTTCTTCTCTAAGAGTTGATAATAATTTACTTTAAAAGATAATAATTTCAATTATATATCACAAATTTCGATAATTAATCATATAGATGGGATTCATTATCTCGACACTTAAAATTATATTGCCTCATAAATCAAAATCATAGACAGACAACATGATCATCATGATCTTCTACACTTTGAAATATTCACGCATATGCAATGATAAACAACATTTATCACCCGAATTGTTATTTTTTCCAAGAAGAATTGATCATCTTTTTTTAATTGCATATTTGATTAATTAAACTACCAATGACGAAATAAATTATTCAATCATTATTTTTTTTGTTTAGTGGAAAAAGACAAACAACAAATGTCAACTGAAAATGTGGCTTATTTTTAAAGTGAAATTTATGGTGTGTTGCACTAACATTAGAATCAAGTGTAAACTTACAGTAAATTGTAGCTATGCACCGCAATCGATCATGGATCAATAATCAATCATCAATCTTTTGATGAAGTTACAGTAGAGTTATTCTTTCAAAATACCTTGACATCGTATGTATGCAGTGTTTTGACTAAGGGATTATGAAAAGCAATTGACAAGGAATAGTGAACAGTTTATCAATGAAAATTTCAGAGAACACTGATGCTTGTCGGTTGACAAAAAGTCATATAAATGTTTACTATTGTGTTTCAACTGTGATATCAAAGACTACGATTCTCTAATAAGGTGTACTATCATAAGTTTTCAGCCATCACTGATTGGAATACTGTTTACTTTATACTTGTAGAGACAATGAAAATAAGTCATGCTTTGTTCTGAATCAAGTTTAAGCTATTGATCCGAAACTGTATGATAAAACATTTAATTTTAATTAAATATCTTGGTTTTATTTCCAAACAACATTCTCTTCAGGAGGAAAGTATTTAAGGGTAATAACCAACCTTTCACAAGTCTCAATAGTGGAAGCTTTGTAACTGTGGATTCTGTAGATGCTGAGTCTCATCGTTATAACAATAAAAGCTTTTCAGGTACATTAAGTTGCTTAGAGAAGATAATTTGATTACAATAGTAATCTCTAATGATCAGAATGACTTTTTGTAGGACTGGACAGGAAGAATAACCAGTCATTGAAGTTAGCAGGTATCGCATTGTCAAGTCGTCGTTGGTTATCTGGTATAAAACAAAATAATTTAAACATAATCTCACTTTCTTAAATCTATAACCAAATTTATCACAACATACTCCAGTAGATTATAAATATTTGGTTTAACCCTGATGTCTAAGCTGCATGAAATTTGTCTACTGAAGTGTTGTTGGCTTAGTCATGAAGTTATGTAATTCGGTGAAAATATTCTTAAACTCCTTAATATAACAGGTCGGACAAATTAAAATGTGACATCTCTATGAATTTAGATCGACTGAACAGCTAGTCTTCCATAATCAACATAACGGATTGGTCTTAGTTACATGTTTGTTAAAAGCCAAGAAGTATTGTAAAATTATCGAATTATAGTATAGATTGCTCAACACAGAGCATCCATGATCTCACTGAAGATAGAAGATAAATATTGTAACAAACTTTTGACTGGTGATCATTGATCATTATTCTTCGTCTTCAGTTGGTCAAGTTAGCATTACACTGTCCTTCAAGTATAGAGTAGCAAGTCTCTCGTCCTTGGTTAATAGTGGTTACTCAAAGGACTTCTACATATTGTTTCATGTATAGGATGCAACAGTAGGGCATTCCGGCCCAGAGGTGAGGCTTAATCTTTAAATCCCTGAGCTGGGATCTAATGGTGTACAAGTATAACTCAAGTTAATTCACGATACTACCCAACCTTCATTCAGTACCATTGGTGGACAGCTGCCTCACACTCGACTTAGTCGAATTCTACTGTCCGTAGCTTTTCATTCGAAATTTCAAGGATATCAAAAAGTCTGGTGGATGAATGCAACTACTCCATCAGGTTTCGCGCACAATTCCTGGATAAAATCAAGGGGATTCAAAACGAAAACGACGAAACGATGATATCTTTCAACGTAACAGCCTTATTCACCTCAATAGAGCCAACCTTAGCTAAAGACACTTTCCGTTCTCCTCAGCTACGACACAAATCTGTAAAAACTTACAAAACTTCACAGTCAAAGTCTGCTAAAACTCATCGATCTATGCTTAACAACTTATTTTCAGTTCAACAACAGAGTCTACGAAAAAAAGGTTCGCTATGTAGACGACACATTTGTCCTTATCAAAAGAGAGAGCTGGAGAACATCAACAATCGGATCAACAACGTCTTTGATGACATTAAATTCACGATAGAAAAGGAATCAAACAACAGTCTATCATTCCTGGATGTACTAATCACCAGAACTAACACAGGAAATCTGAGAACACAAGTATTTCGGAAGCCAATCCACACAGACGTAATTCTCAACTACGTTAGCAATAACCCAAGAACCACAAAACCAAATGCATACAAACTTTGTTCAAGAGAGCGAAGACACACATATGAAGCACTAAAAAACTTAGAAAAGCACCTTATGACCATCTTCCAAAAGAACGGCCATCCAAGCAACTTCATCAAAAATCATCAACAGAAGCGAAATCAAGTACAGGAACCAATAAACGGATCTTCCTACCCTACATAGAAGACATATCGGAGCATACAACACGACTACCGAAACCATTCGGAATAGATGTGGCACACAAACTAACAGAATCAACTCAATCAATCCTATATAAACCAAGGGACAAAATGACAGAGGAAGAAAAACGAAATATCATCTACACAATCAACTGTTCAGACTGTGAAAAACATAGGACAAAGTGGACGGCCTCTTCAGCTCCGTTTACGCGAACACCAATAAGCAGTCAAACCCCACGACAACGCTTCGCCTATATCAATACACACCGACAATTATGGACATTCGATTAGAACAATGTGGAAATACTGTTTAGGGGGAGGTCGAAGAACACAAGAGAATTTTTAGAAGCTTAGCACTCAGGTCAATCAGCAATCGAGACTGACCCAATTTATCAACCAATCAGGAAAATCCTAGGTGACATAGGATCAAGAAACAGATCAAAAAGGGGGATAAAATCAAAACAAAGGTGTAAACAACGACAGGTTTAGGGTCAACAGCAACCAATCAAGATCGAGGTTAGTAGAACAAACTACAGATCAAACGTGGCTAAATTCGAATGCTTCACTTCTATCTGAAGTTTGTGCTGATGATGTTGTTGAGAAGAACAATGAAAGCTCCACAACCCGAAACATCCAGCTCAGTGAACGAAACACTATCACAATCATCCACCTGAGCGACAAATTTTTTCTACCGTCTCAACTTTAATATTTATCACTGCAAACCCTAACTACTCTTATTGATTTTTACTGGTCCAACGTCTTTTCGAAATTGCCTACTTTAATCACCTGCTTTCTCATAAACTTTAGCATTGTTGTAAATATGTTTATATATATATATACATATATATATATATATATATATATATATATATATATATGTAGCGAGAGAGAGAGAGAAGGAAAGATGTGTAATAAAACTGTCGACTAAATCGTCACTTCACTTTCCACTCAAAATAAGTTTATTGTGAAATGTCAAAAAAAGGCTGACGAATACAGTTAATTAATTATATGCGAGTACCAATCAATAATTTGTTATTCGTCTGTTTATTTGTTTATCTAATTATTTAAGTTTATACTTTTTTTGCGAACTAAATCTAAGGTCATATTTCTGTTATTTTATCTGCCTCTTCCAATGATTATTCAATCTAACTTGTTTTAATGACAAATTAAGTTTTGATTTGAAAGGTACGTAGTTCGTAGGTTAAAAGAAATTGATTTTTTTTTGGCATCTCATTCTAATCAACTTTATTTTATGTAGTGTTTATCAAGTCAAACGAATTAAATTAGTTTTAGAAATTGAGAAGAGTGAAATGTCTAACCGTTTTGGTGAGGAAACAAATCACTTTCATGATTATTCTGGACGACATAATCCTCACCCTCAAAGAGTTACATGTTTTACTGGTTTTCTTGGTCTACCTGTACGTGTAATACATGATCCAATCGTAACAGATGGCACTGTTTCATCGACACAACGGAATGATAGTTATGATGCTTCTTCGGATTTAAGAAAACGTACCAATTTTCCCATTGGATTATCATCAAGTTACTATACAGACTATTTAGTAAATAATTCATCCAAGTTGAATTTCAGAAATACTATTCAGAATGATTCACTAGACAAATCATGGAGATCCAATGCTTATGTACATCATGTTCCTGTTGGCATTCTCCCATTATCATTAAATCGTCGAAAAATTCCTCAATTAGACACAATTAATGGATTGAAATATTTTACAGGATTAAGAAATTATTCTGTACGTGCACGTCCACCTCTTCTCGGTGCATTAATGGAGTCTGAAGTGAATCATTCAAAAATATTAAGACAATCACATGACGATTTAACTGATTTACATCATGGAAGCCTATTGAATAAAGAATTATCTGAACGTCGAACAAAATGGCAAAGTGAATTAAGTTATCTTGCTGGAAGTATTTTAAGTAAATTATCACAGACAGTTTTATTCTGAGTTGTTGTATTCCTTGACTATAACTATTATTATTATTATTAGTATTATTATTGTTATTATTATTATTATTATCGTACAGTATGCTATCCTGATAATTTCCTCCTGTGCTTGGCTATTAGAAACTACACATGAACAAAATCTAACAGGATGACAGCTCCAAGTACCAATTTCAGCTTAGATTTGACATCAGTTTGTTTGAACATAGTCAAAAAATGTATCTGAGTATAATAAACACAGATATTGAACGTCTGACGAGCTGGAAATTCACATTCTAATGCAAATTTGAAAACAGATCGTTTCATTTGGTAGTAAATAGTTTTGTAACTGAAGTATATGCATTCACTAAAAACAAACTTATGTATTTTGTACAAATCTAATACGATTATTACAATATATTATGCGTGAGATTTATACTTGAAAATTGATTTCTTCCTATATTCTACATGAACACTACATTTTTGTTCTGCACTAATAATGTCACTGGGATGTGTATCTAGCATTCCATATGAGCTAAGACCAACAGTTTGCAGATGTATTGTGATGAAGTTTTAGAATTTAAGAAAAACTGATTGATTACTTCTTAGTTTCCGTTTGTGGTTAATTAAGTGGTCACTGAATAATTATAAGTGTTTGTTTGTTTGCTTTGTACTCTGAGCTGTACAGACTTTGTTGACTAATATATTTTTGGTCTACAGAACTTAAGTTCAAAGCTTCCACTTCATTTTACTCAATCGATAACTTTTCATCATCATCATAATCTCAAATATACTTGAAATCAGTTTACTATTATTCTCAATTATTTAGTTAGCAAGTTAACTTTTCTGCATGGAAACTTTGAAAGATTTGCTTTTGTTTTCTGACATTTTGTTTTGATTAAAAGTCGGTTTAAATTTTCATCATTCATGCACTAATTTTTTTTATCATCCAAAACCTCTCTCTCATGACAAAAGGTTTAAGAAGTTCATTGATTCACCTAAATTCTGTTGATGATAGGTTCTTTGAGTTTTTTTAACATCATACAAATGATTGAATGAGAACTACTGATGATGGTATTTTAAAAAGAGATAGAAATTAAACTGAATTCATATTTTAATACAAAGAATTATTGAGATTAATTCTAAAGTCTGACTAATGAACATTTTTATAGTAAACACTATTATTAGTAGATGTGGATAGTGGCTAACAAGTAATACCATAAAACTAACTACTTAATGATATAAAGTAGTGTGAAATAGATAAACACAATTCCAGATGTAAAATGTACTTAATAATACCTCAGTATTTGTATGGACACATTACAAAATGAACTGCTGAAAATTATCTAATACTGTTTTATCAATATTTCTATAACCTTAAGCCACTGGAAACCAAAATGAACTCAAAAGTCAATTATTATTACCTTGATTTATTTCTAGAGGTTGTTTTGTTATACGAACATCGTCTCGTGAAGCAACTTTACTAATCATAGTATCAATTACTTTTTATTTCTCAGAATTACAGTAATTTCTCTCAAAATTACTGTTAACACTGTTTAAATGAAATCGCTTTCATATGGTAATGATATATCTACTGAGAAATTTTCGTTTAATTGTCTGAAATTTTATTTAACGTTCCTATGAATGAACTTAATTAACACAAGCATTAAAAATATACCGAGTTTACGTTACACTAAGTTCTCAAGTAGGACAAGTTTTCCCTATTCAAATCAACAAGGACCGGATAGGCGTAACAGAAATACTGGTTTATTTTTGTTTTACTAATTATAACACTGAAAAATCAATTTAAAAGACCTGAAAAAGTACTTACTACTATTTTTTTAATGTCTGTAGGTTACCTTAATTGATAGTTATTGAGACGCTTCATGCTCTATTATATTATTGTCGTTGTCCAACAATACTAGAAAACGATGTATGGATTTAAGTTGAAGGCATTACTGTTAAACAACTTAGAAATTTTTTCAGATAACTCATCATTATTTTCGCATCTCACATCAGCAATTTCACTATACCTTTTTCACAGTGATACTGTATATCAGCCTGTACTGTTATAATCTATCTAATTATTGATTTCGTTAAATTTTACCGTATAAGTCAACCGAATTTTCTTTATAAACTGACATTTTAGTTCTGTATTATGGCTTTCCACTCCTGTCAATTAGCGTTTATTTCTTTGATCAAACCTAATCAGTGTCATAAATCATAGTTTCCTGTTGGAAATGCTGAGAAAATGTATTGTGAGGCATTAGCAAATATGGAAGTATTCTATCGTTTGGTTAATTTAAGGTTTCGTTTTTTTCCAGATTAATCTAAATCGCGCGAAATATGAAATCTAAAAGTTATCCGTTTAAAAAATCTGAACTGCAAACGAATCACGACTGCCTCCTCGATAGATAATTAAAGTCACTTTCAAATAAACTTCTACTTTTTTTCTATATTACTTTAGGTGGTAGAAAACTATCTACACGTCTGTTATACTACTGTTTACTTTTTTTCTTATTTCCTGCTTTAGATCAATTACAAATACCAATACCAACAGATAAGAACAACCATGACCAACCATTTGATCGATTCAATAATTCCTACAACAGAAATAATAATTATTATTATCCATTGTCTAGTTTCATGGAAAAAACTTCATCTAGACTGAATAATCATCATCAACCGATAGAAACTATGCATAAAAATCAAAACTCATCTGGTGAACTACTCTATTCAAGTAAAACAGGTCGTTTAATGCCTTCAACCAACGACAGTAGATACATACGTACACGAAATCAAACATCATCGGTAAGCTCCATTGGTCCATATTTTTGACACTAGAATGATTGAATTAAAATATTAGCTCTGGGTATATTGAATGAAATGCAACGAGGTCTTAGTTAACTATATCCTGAATTCCGGGACTCTTCAGAAATCAACACTGTTGACCTCACCAGAAAATGCGTTTTTGACTATGGGGTCTTGTGATAGGTTTATTACCCGCAAAATACTCAATTGGTGTACAGTCCCAAATTTAGCTTGTTCAAGAGTTTTATCCCTGAGGATGTTGGGATAATTATTCTTGAAATGTTTGAAACTATAAATGAACAGATATCTTATACCTTCTAGTTTTTAATGAATGATCAGATGAAGTATTATACCTTCTAATGTGCAGTTTTATTATGCTATCATCTATATTTACAAGTTAGATTGTCAATCGAACTAATGAATATTCCGACTAAGATTTCGTCACTAAAGATGTGTTGTATTCTCTGTCATTAAGAAAAATCAAACCCGAAGTTTGTGTGATCAATTAGTGAAAACTTAAAGCCAATCTGGTTAGCATTTTTTTGGCAAGTTAGTTTTTAGTTGGGATGGGGGCGCCAACCCCATGCCCAATCCCCTCCTCCTTTGTCCGGGCTTGGGACCGGCAATAGCCCCGAAGGGTCTATAGGCGGAGTTAATCTAATATTACACTAAGCTCTATTATCTGATGAATATATGTATCTCTTACGGTCTATTAATGAAATGATTGGAAAATTGTTCAATAATCTGATCTACTGTAAGGTCTTGAAATCTATTGGTTAATAATGAGATTAGATTGCCTGAACAAATATATTCTCAATAAAAAAGTTATTTTCAACTACTTTCATCGTCCAAAAATATTCTACAACAACCATGGTTCAGATCATCCTGTTATTGATATTTCAAATGAATTTCAAACAATCTTACTCTCTGTATATATGAAACCTGTTCAAAGTGCTTCATTATAGTCGTCGACACAAATTTCTATAGAATAAATAGACTGTGGCTAGTAATGATTTCTAAGAATGCTAGTCTTAAAGGATAGTTCTGCTTTTCATAGTAAATTTAGTATTCCATATGAAATGATGCAGAAAAGTTGGAACAAGAAAACACTTTGTGGTGATTAAACATGCACCATTTACATATCTAATTTTTCTGCACTATGCTTTTTGACACAGTAGACTGGTACAAATTGCATAAGCATTAGAAATAAGATGTTAATTTGTTTTTAAAGTAATCTATATTTTGAAATTTGGCCAATTTTTTTAAAAACAAAAATTTAATTCATTTTACTGGTATTATTCATGGTCCAGTTAATGAATAAACGCATGAACAAACATCAATCCTCTCAAAATCTGTTCAAGCATTTTTTGCAGAGAATAAAAGAAATTTTTAACTGAAAAAAAATAAAGTCTCAGTATACAGTGTTTGTTTTTTTGTCTTCTAATCTTCTATGTCAAATAGTCGGTGTACAACAACAAAAAAATATTTAAAACACCAAACTCCATATTCATTAATCCTGTAAGAAATTCGCATCCGAATTTCTATTGTTTTCCCCAATGATCGGTCGTCACAACACTGACAGACACTGAGTGTTGTGCATTGTGAATAGTGATTGCATTCTGGTATTATGTATACATAGATGGTCTATATGCAATTATACAATTACTGTGGAAGGGTGTTATATAGACAATGTAAAATGTAGTTGACTAAAGTCTGTCAAATTATTAAACTTCAACTTAAATAAGTTGACAATGAAAACAATTAGTCCCTTTTTGTAAATTTTGATAGAACAGTTCAATTACATCTTCTCACTGCTCTATCAAAATATTTTCAATATAATACAAAATTTTGGGGCAGAGTTTTGGAAGTTTGTGTTTTTACACATTTGAAATCATCAATCAATCATTGTTAGACCACCATTAGAAACCTGGAAGCACTGGACGGCCGCTTCGTCCTGGTATGGGACTCATCAGCAGTGCGCATCCACGACTCCTGCTCCTCGCAGGATTCGAACCCGTCACCTTCGTTATTGTGCGCGAACGCCTAATCATCGGACCACTGAGCCGGCATCCAACATAAACCTTTTTTAATCTATCACCACTGATTGTCTGGATAGTTTCAAAGAAGCAATAGCTAAATGCTTGACTTTTTCATTCGTTTTAATCATATTTTACTTTTGCTGAAATTGATACTATTTGGATATTGGTCTGTGACTTCATTTTTACTATATATTTCGCATATCTTCTCGCATACTTGAAGTTGGTACAATAAATATATTTATTCACTTGGCTGAAATCTCTTTTTAATGACAAGTGACTGTTTTCCGTATTCATTCTTATTTATACCTTTCGGATGATACAGTTCGATCATAGGAAAAACTACCTTTTTATCCCAGGATCGGTTTTTTTTGTTTGATATGTTTTGTGGATACAATCTCATTTATGTTTTAGTGGCTTAGTGACTCGACTCCAGTGTAGACGAATGATAGAGTATGTGATGAAATAAATCTTTCTCTCCACTTCCGTATATTTCTACTTAGGCTAACCCTGTTTGTGCGATGGCGGTAGTAAGAAGCCAAATACTGTGTTAAGGATGAATTTATTTCATGCCATTCATTTATGCAGACAAAGAAACAAGCAAAACGAATCGAATTGGAGAAGGCGAGTGAGCCAACTCTCCATGAGGTGAAGAATGACAAAGTATTTATAGTCAAGCAATAATACGCTATACATGTGATAAGCGATTAAGCATCCACACACAACCAAATATACAATAATCGATACTGTAAGTAATCGATTTATAACAAATACAAAATTACGGTCGATACAATTATCGAATAATTCAAACGACTAATTACTAAAGTACAATGAATGAATTGTGAGATGCTACAATGTCATACCTCACATTTGTATTTGATCAAGGTTAACGTTGTTGATTGCAAAGCGGTAGTCGAGGTTACATCCACAGTTGTCCACCATCTTTTTTGAGTTTTACTAGGCCTATCAATGTCTACATTTCAATTGCAAATTTATTTTTCAAAACTGTTTTCATACTCTATAATGATTGTTCATTCACCAACTAAATCTAGATTGATATTACTTGAACTTTGTGGCGTTTCTTAGAGCTTATGTTCACTTCCTTCTGGTGTCTGATTTAAATTTGACTTTAAAAAAAGAAAGATTGATTTTGCCTCAAAGCTGATTTTCTTCTCTTATAGGTCCTAGTGATTTTTATGAGATATTGGTACTATTAGTTAGTTCAAAACTACAATCACTAAGTATCTGAGTTTATTTTTCAAGTCTCAATGATGATCACTTTACGGAAGAAATATAATGTACTTTTTAAATCTACATACAAATCAATCAACTCTTAATTAAGTAGAATATAAGGGAATAATGAAAGTCACTTTTAAGACTGAACTAATCAGTTCGAGACTACTCATAAAATAATTGAAAAGATTTACTTTTTGAGGACAATATACTAAGTTTGCTTGGATTTCTTTTTATTGCACTAGAATTACTGAAGCAACTTTTCAATTATCAGTATTAATATATATATATGTATTTCTTATAAAATAAATCTATAGAGTAGTGAAAGAGGTCAATATCTAAAACATGCAACTTCTGTCAATGAAATGTTTCGTAATTATGAAATGCAAATATTTGCTATGATATGTAGAATTCTTCAAACAAACGATACAAATGCCGTTCAACATTGGTTAGAAAATGCAACAGATAGGTAAGTTTAGTGAGTATAGCACAACCCTACTTTGAAGGATCTTTCCACTTCAACTATTATCCTTGTAAATCAAAGTTATCCATGTGAATAATGGTTAACACATAGAAATATGCTAACTTGTGTTTATGCATTTATATATATGGTGCAATGAAGTTAACTTTTTAGTCAATAGTTAGACCATAGATCGCTAAAATGATATTTAAGTGAAATTATTCCATTAAAAACTAGTCTTATTTAAGAAGAGCTTGATTTGTGTCATGATATCTCGTTATTCTATGTTTCTATATTTGTCAAAGAAATGTTATTCACCACACATTAATTAAGGGATACTACACCTAACTCAGGTCTCATAGGGTCGAAAAATGAAAATTCCGGAAACACAAAAACATCATTGCCCGACATGAGATGAAGGGTAATAGAAGTGTTAGGGTCTATTTGCATCAAGCTGGGCTGCCTCTTCTACTATCCTACGCCATATATGTCTACACCGTATGCAATACTGCTATATAAAGCTGAAGGTCTCCTATGAGACTAGAGGTTCGCTGTGAACATTGTGGGTGGCTTGGCTTTGCTTTGGTAAGCATTTTAACAGTTCATATACAAAATTGGTTAGCAGGGCGACCAATTTCATTGATATAGGTGGTTGTTTTGCGACATTCCCGAGGGCCATTTTCATTGGGGTGTTGTATTACATATCAACATTACTAATAATAATGAGTTTGACAGTCATGTAAGCGGGATGTGTCGAAATGGCCTCTGTTCACGCGGTGCATATTGATTTACGCGATCATGGATCGGAAACATATATACCAGTGTGTATATATAAATGGTGTGAATGGTCCACCAGGGTATCAGGTACCTGTGTGGTTGCACCACAGGATTGAGCCGAACTGTTCATGTGGTAATGGTAAAACGTGTGCAATCTCTTTGGTTCTCCTGAAAACCAATGTGAAATTGCCCTTGACAATACAGGGTAAACTTATAATTTATTGACACATAAATTAAGGATAAAAAGTTTATACTGAATCGTTTTCTTTTGTCTTCTGGGATGGATTTTGTATCAGTATTCTTTTTGTTATTAATTATACAGAAATTTCTTACTCCTACTTACCTTAAAAAGTTTTCCAGTGGGCACTCCTGTATCGTCGCTTTGCAATAAGTTTATAAATATGAAGATTTTAACCATACCTGTTCTGACGCTATATTGGATGTTTTAAAAAATGTTTTTTAAAAAAGAGTTGAGGGTTGGTCACTCAGTTTTAAATATCACCAACTACAAACGTATGATCATCAGACGATCAGTGGAATTGCAGTTTACACTAGTAGTGTGGTGTGAGCTACTTACAAGTAGAATATGGCGTGAGTGTCAACGTAATGTCTGGCAGCAGAAGATGGGGGAAGATCAAGAAAGGAAGAGTGGGAACACAATGGAATTTTTATGAAACGCATGAATAGTGACAATGGATTGATGTTTTGCAACAGGAACAGTCCAGTTCGATATGATGGACTGATAATTTGCAAATGCACGATTTACGATATGGTTTTCCAATTTTACTGACTAACTCTGTAATTTTCGTTAAATACAATTCGGTTGCCCCATCTGTGTTCTCGTTCACTACAGTAGTATTAGTAGTACCACCGAAAACCAAAAGTTTTCTGAACGGAAGCCTAATCGACTGATCGATAGAATACACCAAAAAATAAGTTTCTAATTTCAATACCAGTATGAGATATAATTATGGTGTGAGTCCATTAAAGATATATGACCATTAAGCACTGATCACAACATTCAGTAGCTTGAGTTTCACTAAAACCAGTTGAACCAGCTACTTCATTCGATAGAATGCTCTATGCAAAGCAAGAAAGCACTAACAGATTCACAAATGTAAGACTAAATCATCGGGAAAAAACATACAATCTGCAAAATTTGTTCACTTGATTTTTTTTCCCACTTTTCATAACACTTGAAAGGACGTTTAAAACTTTTAAACAAAACACTGAATTATTTCATGCATACACTTGATTGTATTCATACTGAAGGATAATAGAATGTAAAAAACACTAAAACTTAAAAATATCTTATTCTCTTCTAATTTTAGAGAGAAAAATTTAATTATTAACTTAGTATCTACTGCATTATATCATCAAAATATGTATTATGACACGAAACAAGCTGGCAGTAGTCATCATCCAACTAATTCTGACATGCATTGGTCTAGAAGAGAAAAATTGTCAAATAATGATGTAGTAAGTTTTAATTTCATGAGCTAATTTTGAAAACTGTGAATTGGATCATTAAAATGTGGTTGGTAAATTAAAAAAAAACTACAAGTTAATTAGGATGAAATAAAATAAAATTATAAAAATGTTTCATTTTTCTACTACACACCAACTTTTAGGAGTGTAAATCATTCTCTTCTTTGATTTATACATGAGAAAAAAAGCATTTTCATTTGAGTAATAAGATTTTGAGAGGTTCACATTTTATTCATGAATTTGTAATAAAATAAAAGCTACTTATTAGTCAGTCAGTCAGTCAGTTGCAACGTATGACTTCGTACGTATGTACATAAGTTCAGGCTACCATACCACATTAGCACAGAGACGCAGATGTCAAATCAAATCCCATAGTGATAAAAATAGTAGAGGTATTAATGGTAATGAAGAAAACTAGAGTTTGATGATATTATTCAAGAAGTATAATTCAGTGAGATAAGGTTAGAAAGACAAAGGTAGAGGTGATGACGAATCTAGAAGATTAGGATTTGAGAGGGCACAACGAATGGATGCACCTGCGCCATTGCAAACGATTTTGAGCCATATCGTTCAAGGTCTCTAACCATTGGTGACTTTCGTCTCGCGGACCCCAACCAGGTAGTCTACATCTACGAACATTACTCAGTTCACTTGTCAGTGACTTCATGGATTTCTGCCAAGTTTTGGTCTGGCCGCCCCTAGGGCTACTCATTAGATAGTGGTGCAGTTTAGTTCTCCAAGCTGAATGGCTTGATTTTGGAGTTTTAATTTTTCTCCTGACTAACATCGTCAATAAATACGTCGGACAGAAGCGAAGTTTTAGAATTTCTCCACGTATGACTCATAGCTTGTCCTATTGTCTTTGATTTCGATTGGTTGCTTCTGACATTTAACCTGTCTTAGTCTGCTTTTATTTGGATTGTATCCTTATTTTCCATAGATCAAGTTATATACCGTTGCAGAATATGTAAATGTCTAACTCTTGGTGAAGAAATCTCTGCTTTACATCTGTAAAATGATTTTCCAGATCTTTCAGATTTTAACTACTGGTACAGTTGTTTATGACTGAATGATTTTATTATAAAACGTACTAAATTTAAAGCAATCATCAATTTTGATAGAACAATGGGAAGACTGAGTCGATCTGAAAAATATGATGTCTTTTCGAATAGTCGGATTACATATATACTTGTCAAAGCATTTTATACGAAAATAAATGAAGGTCAATAAAATAAAAGTTCAACTAAACACCAAATGATAATCTTAAATAAATAAGAGAGAAAGTGAACACATTATGGTAAGAATAGGAAATTATCGCATCACCCTAGGTCATAAAATGGATTAAAGATTATCAAGGTAAATTCAAGGTTACGTCGAACTGTTTCTTCACATATAAGGCAGGGGTCGAATATACGAATAGCCAAAGATTCTAGAAACCTGAAAATTTCTCCTTGACAATATCTGTACAACGTTCTATGCCCCGCTTCGATTGTGTTTTGCTAACGATATACATGGTTTTCTATTTCCCGCGTTTACTACCAGGCCATTTGACAGTAAAATAATTGTAATAACTTTGCAGCTTACTTTATGAATCACATTCTCTATAGGTAGGCAACAGATATACTTTAAGATTGGTCATCATTAAACAAACACTAAATTTGTTCAAATTTGTTTATTTTCTCCTTCATTATCTTCTCATTTTTTGGTAAATCACATATATTACTAGATTATTATCAGTAGTTTGTGACTAATTTAGATATCTTATGTCATAATAAAACCTTTCTCCAGATAAATCGTTGCTTCACACAGATTTCACACGTACCTCGACCGTGTGGTTGAAAGCTTCTGTAGTATTAACGGTCTTGTCATTTACAAACCACATCGATGAATTGTATGAACTAAATAGAAAAACAAATCTGTGGATAATTTTTTTATACACCATAATCATTTCGCACTCTCAAGCTGACTGCTTTTCAAAACCTAACTGAAACTTGAGAGGACCGCATAAATGTCTTCGATTTCAGTATAAGACTTTCCAGGACAACCTACATTGTATATTAATGTTTGGTGAGGCAATTATCAGAACTTACTGTTTGGGATTATAATTGCTAATAGATTTAGTTGGTTTATTGTTTACGGTTTTCAACGAACCGCTGAAAGATCGAACTATGAATTTCCCCACAAATCGCTTTTAACGTTCCAATAATATATCATACAATCCAGACCACCTACAAATAATGTGCTTAGTAGTTTTGAAAACTTTCGAAGTAATATTTTATAAACAAAGTGTCAATGACTCATAAATGTCATAAAAAAATGACGAGCTTAAGCTTCTAAGCTTCTATCCCCTTCACGAACTAGATCACGCAAACAAATCCAATTTGTCAAAATAATAATCACAATCATATTTACAACATTTAAGACATAACTCTCTTGTTCTTAGAGCCTTAATGAAACAGTGGAAGATGAGAACTGCTGTACCGAAACAGATCGTTTAGTGATTGATGAAACGGACAATATCAGAGAAATACATAGTAGAGGTAAGCAAATAGATAAATACTTGTTTTTTAAGTTCATCATCAGAAATCGTGTGATTTCTATCTTGTCAGTCTGCATATTAAATCATATAATACCAAGTATGTTTGATGGTAAACTGAAATGACTGACCTGATTAGAAAAACGACTTCCTGTAAGCCTCAGTTTGATGAATAACAACTATGATAATGTACTTATATCAATAAATCAAAATAATAACTGAAATATATATACGACTTTCTAACACTACATTCGTTATAGTCATAACACCCCATTTTAATAATCCATGTTCGATGTTGTTAGAAAGTTATCAAAGAGGTGTAGTTCTGGTAAATATCTATTGTCATGTTTTCGGTCGTAAAATATAAATATTTGTGTAGAGCACTGATGAAAAACTACTTGAAAAGCAATATTTCTTCGCCCATCTTATCTCTTTAATGCGAATATTTAATGAATGATAGAAATCAAGTTGAATTCGAAATTTAAACTTAGAACTTTCTGCATAAATGATTGAATATTCCCTTGGTCGTATACATACATACATCCGTGACAAAACCGAAGACTGAATCTTAGAAACTTTCAGCTCACACACGAGAAATGATCAGACATTAATTAGATCAATGAGTCAAAATCTGGCTGTCTAAGTGAAACGATCGCGTTCATAATTTAGATACATTAACTCGGCGTATATTTTTCTCTTAAACACTAGAAAACTCTTGCAACTTACAGTCAAATGAGAATATGTTAGATGATATATCGAACTTAAGTAAGTATTAATTTTATGAACGCATAAACATCAATATTTTCAAGAGAACGATTTCAATAGTAATACCAATTAAAAAGTTTACAAGAATTGTATTCCTACTTGATAAATAAATAATGTTGCTACTTAGTTTATTTTTTGAAATCTAATTAATAGAACAGTGAGAAGACGTAACTGATCTGAAAAATGTTGTGATGTATTTGAGTTATACACATTTCGACCAATCTGGTCACACATTTCACACTTGTCAAGGCATTTTATTTGAAGATTCAATAAAAGGTCAATTAAATAAAAGTTCAAATAGACATACGGTGATAATTGTGAATAAAGGAGACAGTAAATTAACGTAATATGAAAAGAATAGGAAAGGGTAGGAAAATTGTCACATTACTCTAGACTTAAAGATTACCAGGGTAAATTCAAGGTTATGACAAATTGTTTCTGCACACATAAAGGAGGTTTGAATTTTTTAACTTTTATTTAATTGATCTTTTATTCATCTTCATATAAAATGCCTTGACAGGTAAATATGTGTGACCAGATTGTTCGAAATGTGTATAACTCAAATACATCACAACATTTTTCAGATCAATTACGTCTTCTCACTGTTCTATCAAAAAATTTATAAAACGGATAAATTGTTTGAAATCTAATTAAACCTTTTTTTAAACAACTTAGTCTTTATTCTTTTAACATATATATATCAGGTATACAAGTAAATCTTTCTGATGATACATGTGAGACTACATTGAAATCTAACAATACAGAAGTGAATAAAGCCACCAATACAGCGGAATCTTTTAGTCTATGTCAAACACCATTGAAACCAAATTGGAAACAACATGAATCCATTGGAATTCCATAAAATAATTGACAATTGTTTTTATTCTTATTTAGATAAAGACTACTGATATTGATTGATTGACTGAATGATAATGAACTAGTTGATATTTCTCGATATTTACAAGTAATTCAAATGTAGAGTATTTTTTTATATTACATTTACTTATTCTGTTTTTGTCAACATAAATATGTAAAAAAAAAATATATATATATATATAAATGAATAAAAAACAGGTAATGCACCATTGTGATATTTTTCATTTCTTCTCTATAAATAAATACACAATCGTATGAATTGATTCAATTCACCACTATAAATAACCTATACAGTTCAGTTACTTTTAATGCATAAAGTAAATGTTGCATTGACAAGATTACGGAATTACTTACTTACTTACGCCTGTTATCCCCAATCGAGCATAGGCCACCCACCAATTTTCTCCAACCAACTCTGTCACGGGCTTCCCTTTCCAATTTTGTCCAGTTTTTTTTTCATTCTTCTCATATCTATCTCTACTTCTCGGAGTAATGTGCTCCTTCGCCTTCCTCTTTTCCTTTTGCCTTGAGGGTTCCAAGTGAGGGGTTCCTTAAAGCGCTCTACCCACCTATTTCGCTGTTCTTCAGTATTGCTGATTACTTTGCCTTCCTTGCTTTTCACTGGTCGTTCTGGTTTACGATAGTTTCCGGCCAGCTTCTTTGTTGTTTCGTACAATTGTCTCAAGTTTCCGTCTCTTACAGCCTTTTCCGCCGTCGTAGCTAGATCTTCCACATATTTTCGTTTGTCAGCTCTGATGCTCTTCTTCACTTCCCTGTTTGCTTCTGTGTGTGCAGCTTGTGCGGTAACTTTCTCTGCTCTTGTTCGGCTGACATTGATTGCTGCCTTCTTGTTCCTCCTTTCTTCAATTTTTGCAAGAGTATCAATAGAGATTCATTCCTTGTGATGGTGTTTCTTGTGACCCAGAACTTCGTGACATGTTGAAGTGATTGCCTCCTTAATCCCTTTCCAATTGTTCTCCAATGTTGCGTCCTCTCCATCGAGTAGATCCTGAAAGGCCTGGAACCTATTGGTGAGGGCTATCTTGAATTCGTTGAGCTTTACAGTATCCCGAAGAAAAGCCGTATTAAACTTGTGTGATATTGTCTGCCCCGTTGTCCAGTGTTTCTTGAGTTTCATTTTCATTTTGGCTATCAGCAAGTGGTGATCTGAGGCTATATCAGCTCCTCTCTTGGTTCTCACATCCTCCATGGTCCTTCTGAACGTTTTGTTGATACAGATATGGTCGATCTGGTTTTGAGTAGTGTGTTCCGGTGACATCCATGTGGCTTTGTGAATGCGTTTGTGTGGGAATATTGTGCCACCGATGACCAGTTTGTTGAAGGAACATAGGTTTGCAAATCTGTCACCGTTTCCGTCCCTTTCTTCTAGTCCATGTCGTCCCATGATTTCTTCATATCCAGTGTTGTCCATTCCAACTTTTGCATTCAGGTCTCCCATAAGAATCGTCAAATACTTTGGTGAGCATCTGTCGACGATTGACTGCAGCCTTTCGTAGAATTGATCTTTAACGTCATCATTGTAGTCATTGGTAGGTGCATAACATTGGATGACGTTCATTGTAATCTCCTCTTTCTTTGTTTTGAAGGATGATTTTAGGATCCTTGGTCCATGAGATTCCCATCGTATCAGTGCCTTTTGTGAATGTTTGGACAACATCAGTGCAACTCCTTGTGTATGTGAAGCATTTTCATCTTCATGACCAGAGTATATCAGCAGTTCCCCTGAAGCTAGTCTCAGTTGTCCTACCTGTGTCCAATGCGTTTCACTGATGCCGAGCACCTCGAGGTTGTATCTTTTCATTTCTGCCGCAACTTGAAATAGTCTTCTAGTCTCCCACAATGTACGAACATTCCATGTACCTAAAAGAATGGTTGCTCTGGTTGTGAGAAGAGGCATCGGCCCCGTGACTTCCGAGGGAACTCGGCTTTGATCACGCGACGTCATAATTCTTCTTGCAACTCCCAGGGCACAGTTAAAATGGTTTGACTTATTTGTTCTGGTTAGCGTTTTTTTGGCAAGTTAGTTTTTGACGGGATGTGGTCGCCAACCCCATGCCCAACCCTCCTCCTTTATTTGGGCTTGGGACCGGCAGTAGCCCTGAAGGGTCTACAGGCGGAGTTATTACGGAATTACTCATTTTTAAAAAAAAGAATGACAAAACAAAACAGTCATTTTGGCGAAACTTCAAGGAGGCTCTTAGTGGTCAATTACTATCTCTCTATATTCGAATGTATAATAATAATAAGTCAGTGCCAGTTAATTTATCATTCACGAACATTCTAGGGTAAATATATACCTCAGACTCCTGGAGATCCAATGGTAACCTACATTGTAGAATAACTTACAGATATAATTTGATCCGTAAGTATATATATATACATACATATATCTTTTTATCATAAACTTTCGTCTGACTCACTAACTACCATCTTACGATTTACAGTTCTTAATTTACCCCCAGTCTATCATTTACAGTTTCTTTCATTCACAGTCACTTTTTTGTTCGATCATGTACAATTGTTATTGCTTATTTTATAAAATGATACAGTTTCATCTGTTTGAAATGTGAATGTAGTGTATGCTAGTTCTGATTCTGGACTCAAGGACATGGCAGAGTACGAGTGGATAAGTATGAACCGATAGGGTTCTAGCCTTTGATGCAAGATTATTAGCACTGTCACGCATTCCGATTGTTTTGTTACGGCATAACAAGGCATATATATATATATATATATATATATATATATATATATATATACATATATATATATATATATATATATATATATATATATATATGAGATGTATAACTTTTTTTCGTGATTCGATTCTTCTATTTGAAAAACCATTTTTCTACACACTTTCAATATCAGATTAATTCAAAATATAAAGTTTAATGTATCATGAAATATGGTATTTTGTTGTAAATTCAACCCACTTCTCGGTTACTAAATTTGAAATATCAAACAATACTTATTCTGTCAGTATTCTTTTGTCTCACTAAACAAAATCTAACCTCAAGTAAAAAGAGATTCTTATACGGCAAAATACAACTCTTTCATCAACTTACAATCACAGTGTTTAAAATAAATGATTTATTTACACTTCACTAGTCTAAGAATAGAACTGACTTTTTAATTTACTTCTCATAGCATGATTCAAATCATGTAGCTTCTGTTTTTGGTGGTAACTTGAAGAGGCTAACTTTTTAAAATGATGATTTCTAGAACTCTGCTGCTTTTTACTACATATTTCCTATCATACTAAATGTTTGAATGTTTGAATCAACTCAAAAGCATAGAGCTGAATCATAAAAATCCATAATTTACTTATTCAAAACACATTCTATCAATACATCAATAAATCCATAGTTTACAAATTCAAAACACATTCTATCAATACATCAATCAATTTGTCAATATCGTTAATCAAAGTATCAGCATAAAATTTACTCTACCTTTTAAGCATTACCTCTGATATGCTTAGAAAATATTCATGAATGAATTTATATAGCAATGAATTTAGTAAATTTTGAAGCCCTAACCGAATCAAGTTTCATGAAAAATATCTGGCCGAGTCAACTGACTTGTCTTATTTTGAATTACTGAACAATTTTAAATTCCCTTTCAACTAGTTCTGTTTTCATGTTAATAAAGAAGAGACTTAAAGTACCTGAGATTATTTAGCAACGAATTAAGGGGTCCACTTCAGGTCTAGTTATAAAATTATTTGATTGAATGAGTTAAATATCAGAGGTGATAAATATAAATGGATAGGTAGATAGATAGATAGATATTACAAAACTAATAGAAATCATTTCGCTGTAACATGTATATGTTCAATAATCTCAGCCTTTTTTCGTAACAATTTCCACTTTAGTATATGTGTGTATGCACGAATATAATTATGTAAATCTAGAGTTTGGATATATTAGAGTGGTGAATGTAATGTGATGTACAATATGTTCATTTGCATATATTAAATTCTGCTTGTCTGAAATGAATAATAGTTTATCTATTTACACCCCAGGAATTATAATTGCCGCTACCCATATAATTAGCCGATATTCTCATTTACTGAATGATAAACCTTTCCATAAATCAAGAGAGATGCTGGCTAAAATTACATAACCATTGAAGAAAAACTTAAAACATAACCTGATACTTATGACTGTGATCTGTACTTACTTACTTACTTACGCCTGTTACCCCCAATGGAGCATACGCCACCGACCAGTTTTCTCCAACCTACTCTGTCACGGGCTTCCCTTTCCGATTCTGTCCAATTTTTGTTCATTCTTCTTATGTCTTTCTCTATTTCTCGGCGTAATGTGTTCCTTGGCTTTCCTCTTTTCCTTTGACCTTGAGGGTCCCATATGAGGGCTTGTCTTATGACGCAGTTAGGTGCTTTTCGTAGTGTGTTTCCTACCCACTTCCACCGCTTCTTCCTGATTTCCTCCTCCACTAGAATCTGGTTTGGACTGTGATTTGTAGCTGGTACTAAAATATTTCATGCAAATGATTACATCATCAGCTACACTTTGGGTATTTAAAACAAGTTTCAAACATTTGAATGAAGTTTCTTTCTTACATCAATCACCCTCTTTTAATTTCATCTCTTTCCAGTATAGTATGAGAGATTTTTATTCACTAATATTGATTAAAATATCTGATAACGCAAAGATGACAACGTAATCCAGTGCAGCCGATGTTAAAGAGTTTCAGACATTGTAGTCATATTACAACAGAGCCGTTTGATGGTAAAACGTAGTCTATAATATCGCTATTCACTTAATCTCTAAAAGGTTAGCGATAGCATTCTCTGAGAGATGAAAAGTGTCCAAACAGTTTAGATCTCATCCCTTTGTATTTTCATTTAACTACGGTGAGTATATTTCAACCTTGATGAATAGGGAGCTAATATCGTATATCACTTGGTCCCCTCTCTAGAACTGTCCTCGGAAA